ATGGAAATCCATCGGCAGGGATGGATCCATATGAAATGTGGTGGTATAACGTGTAATCACAAATTTGATTTCACCGTCTGGAAATGTTTAAACTTTGATAACGTGAAACCAGAGGCATAGCCAAGAGAGGACACGGATGTATAACAATGAAAAACTTCGATAAATGTTTAAAAACTAGTAGTAACATGTATGTACATTTATTATTAAAATAATCCAATATTCTTACACAACGACTTGAAATATAACGGATGGATTAAGAACTGGGATTTCTTTTTCGATATTAGGAGTGGTCCTAGTACATATTAACCAATAACAATGAAAGAAACTCACGAAAATGTTATTTATGATAACATGTTTTAATTTGTTAAAAAAATTGATTATCGACAAACCCTACCAGTCTCACACAAAATTTGTCTTCAAATACACCATTGTAAGAGGTACTTTTTGGTTCACATAAGACAAGGTGTCCGAGATGAAACTCAGGAACTGTTTTGTTTTAATTATATATATATATATATATATATATATATATATATAGGTCATTCAAGGCAGAACTAGATAGTTTATGTTAACCGTGAGATTTACAAATGACATGATAAATTAGGAAATAAACAATTTTGGTAATTTGACTTAAAATTTTGATCAGATGACATTTTAGGTATTCTAAAAATCTCCTCTCTCCTCTCTCTGGTAAACCTTATTCCGATGAACACCAACTTAACACAACATACATAATGTAATACCTAAAAACATCGAAACTGTCAAGGTATTTGAAAGTTCAATGTATTGATAGTTTAAAAACTAATGTACTTATTCAATGTCAGCTATAGTGTCGTTCAAAGGTTTTATGCGAAAATGAATGCGTAGATTTTGGGACGTCCCGGCCTCAATATAGGCTAGTGTATTTAATGCAAAAAAAAATATGACAAAGAAAAGTCTAACAGTCGTTGAGAGGACGTTTGACTAGTTTATAAGGTGGATGTTCTCGTGGCTTGCTATGAAGAGAGCGAGGGAAGTTCGTAGTTTATGTAAAACTTTCCATAAATAGAAATAAAATAACTTTTTACAACTTGCCGTGCTTATTTATTTTAATTTATTTTTAAATCTATTTTCGATACCTCACACCATCAAAACACTACAAAAATGCAGAGTATCAGCAAGGTAAATTTCCCTAGCAAATCCGTCGCTAAAAGGGTCATCCGTCGTTGATACTCCGTCAGTCAAATGCTCATAGGTAATGCTATCAGCAAGGGATCAGCGATGAATATCAGCGACGGATTTGCGAGAGATAGTTTTAGCGACGGATCAGCGAGAGAATATATCAGCGACAAATCAGCAGCAACGGATCAGCGAGGGAATATATCAGCGACGGATTAGCGAGGGAATATATCAGCGACGGATCAGCAAGGGAACTTTCAGCGAGGGATCAGCCTAGGGAATGAGTTTTTGGCCAATCCCTCGTTGATCCCTCATTGATCAGCGAGGGATTTTTTCTCTCGCTGATATCTGGTTTTCTAGTAGTGAAATAGACGGAGGATCACTATTCGTTAAAGAATGTGTTATATATGGTTATAAGGTAGAGTGAATTATACCATTGTTTCCTCTGTTTTGACATTTTTTTTGTTTCGATCCTAAATTTTAATAATTACACAGGGTTATCTAAAATACGAAATAAGCACTACCGGTGTAATTATTGATATATTTAGCAACCACAACCAAAAGACATTCAAAACCTAGGGACCAACGATGTAATTCACATTGAAATGCATTTATCTTCCCACTTCGGAGATATCTAGTTCTTGACAAACATGTTGATGTTATTTGTTTTCAATCTTCTAACTTTCAATTTTTATTCTGAATACATTTTTATAGATGGAGAAAATTAAATTTTCCTTCCCAATGAGGTTTCATGACAACTTTGGTTTTTGTCCCCGGTCTCATTAATTACAGTTTTCGTTGAGGTCTTCGTCTCTCTAACTAAAAATAGGTAAGTTAACTAATATTGCGTCTGATACGAGGAGTGATTCGGTGCATCTCAGTGCATGTCATCCTAATGTGCATCCAAGAGTGAAGATTTTTTTTACGTTTCTCACCTTAACTCTCCTTCTAATTGAAGCTCAATCCTTAGTAATATTTGGTTTTCATTTAGGAAATAACATAACTTTGAAAGAAACTTAACTATTTACAGCTTGATTAATTAAATTAATTTGAATGCTTTATACTCGAATATAATAGTATAAATATAAATAATAGTATACAAATAATATTAATTAAGGATTGTTTCAAAGAGAGCTAGATATATTGTTCAAAAGATTTAGCTTAACTAACAATAAAACTGAGGGTCGTTGAAGATCCTCTACAAAGATCACTGATTTCGAATCCTGTAAAGTTGTTGAGAACTTTCCTACCTGTTATTTAGATAACATGGATCGAGATGTAGGTAAACCAATCGGACAGCCATGATTACAAGAGAAAATGTTCAAAAGAAAAATATGAAGAATTATTCCAAAATTCTTAATGTGATGCTCCTCAAGCACATTGCATAAGACTTTGAATCTCACACACACACACACACTAATCGCTACCCTCAATTCACATATAACCTTCAAAACTTAGAATAACAAATGAAGTTCATATATACTTTAAAAAGTTGTGTAAATGTTTATAAGGTCATAAAAATGTAGTAAATGTTTATAAGTTTATATTGTTAATTACTGTTTTTATATTATTTTTCTTATTTAAAATACTTTATAGAAAACTGTTACATCAAAAATCTAAGTAATAATCATGTCGTTTTACGTATTCTACAAAGATATAATAATGTTTTATAATATCATTTTTCTGATTTCGGTTTTTTATAATACCATTTTTTGACACTCGTATGTTATAAAGTGTGTCATTATGTATATGACATATAATACAAATATTGATATTGAAATTATTTGTCTTTTATTCGTAAATTATTAAAAGTAGACGCTTGTTTGATGATGAAATAGGTTATCAACTTCATATAACATGTCAAAAGGAAAATAAATTTATGTTTTTTCGTTATTTTATCCACTCTCAAGTTCTAATATAGTTCTTAAATCAACTTAAATTTCCTCTCGATATTTCATAAGACCTCCGGCAACCAACATTAGTTGAATCTCTTGTATCAAATCTTGTTCGAATACATTTGATCGACAAAATATGTATTAGGAAAGGACATGCATCAATAGGGAAAAAGTTCAACGATTTGGCTAGGATCAAGGCCCTCGTGCATGGTGTTTGCTACACAAAAATAGGGAAGAAAAAGCGAGATTTTAGATCTGATGCCAGAGATTGATTGTAGGTTTAATTTATATGAACTGTAAGATTGTAAGCTACATGATTAATTTACTATGAATGATCATATTAATCTTGTACAAGTAAACATTATCTCTATACATTTTTATGTTGGTGTTATTTATAGACACTACAATAAAATTGATTTTATAGGACATCTAAAATATCTAAGCGTTCTAATATAGTATGATTTATAGAATTTAAGTTTGTAGGACCAAACTATAAAGTTTTATGTCTAAAATTGTTAAAACAGGTTTATTATACGACGCATTTGGGTGTTTTAACAAGTTTTTTATTACGTTTTTAAAATAGTGTCATATTAATTATATTATAGAAAAGTGTTCTATAAACTCATCTTTTTTTAGTTTATAGGACCTTTTTTCGAATAGTGTCATATAAAATAGCTAATGGACGACTTATTCTAAAAACGTTCTAAAAAAACTTGTTGAAACGTTTGTAAAAACGTTCTATAAATTTATTGTAGCACTTTCATATAAATTTAAATACACTATATATATATATATATATATATATATATA